GGTCTTTCTGATGCTAGAGCTGGCTGCCTTGTTGGGAACTGCTTACCGGGCCTTCTTCAGTGGACAGTCCAAAAGGGACTCAGTATAGCCAGCCACCACAGAGTGTGAGTGGAAGGGGACCTTCCCCAGAGGAGCTGTGCAGGATTAGAATATAATAAGAAAACATATTTGTCTCATATTAATCTGGTTCCTGTCTTCTGACTCCCCTGAAGTTTTCTGAAAGGTAGGGTGTTAAGTCTTAAACACGGAACAAATGGCTGAGGTGTCTAGTTAACATATCAAAGTGAATCCAGCTGCTAGATACTCCCAGCATCTCTCAGTCCCTACCTGTTGTTACTGGGCCCTCTGGGCTGGCATGCCCGGCTCCTACCCTAAACTTCTCCAGCCCAGGGGCTGGGCTGCCTTTCTCAATATAACCCATTGTGGTTACCAGTTCTCTTTGGGCCTCCCAGAGGCTGCACCTGGTTCCCCTCTCTCTTCTTCCCCTCTCTGTTTCCTCACATGGCTCAGGGTCATATTCACTCTGGACTCTCCCAGATGTTCCTGCCCCTGACTATGCTCTCCCTTTTGTCTGCAATAAACTTTCTCTTCACCACACCTAGAAGCAATCGAGCCCTTGCTTTTTATTTCTTTTTCTCATTCAGAGGGGGCAGGTTTTGTTATTCTTGCTAAGCTACTTTCATCATCTTGGACTTTATGCTAATGAGGGGACTCCGGGAGGGGAGGGCCCAGCCTGATGATTACAGGCTTCAGTCAACAAGGCCAATGATCTAATTATAGTTAAAGAAATCTTATACAAATCCTAAACAACAGGCACAGACACCTTCAAGAAACCTTGGAAGTGTCAGGAAGGCAATGCATTTTGAGAAAGCACAGACCCGTCAGACCTTGTCTCATGGGTCTCTTCCTTTGAGCCCTGTGCTTTATAATAAACCAGTGCAGGAGTTGGCAAGATTGTTCAGTGGTTAAGAGCACTTCTGGCTCTTGCAGAGGACCTGAGTTCAGTTCCCAGTACCCTATCAGGTGGCTCACTAGAGTAACTCCAGTCTGAGGGGATCTGGTGTTCTCCTCTAGTGATCTGGTGCCCTCTCCTGGCCTTCTCTGGCACTGTACTCAACTTAAACTTAACCAGCAATAAATAACTTAAACCAGCAGTAAATGTCTTCCTGACCTCTGTGAGCCATTCTAGTGTAGGAAGATAAGGCCTACTGACTGAGAGATGAGCCTGCCTGGAGTCTGCCTGGTGCTGTCATAGGTCCTGGTTGTGCCTAGCCAATAAGGGGTGACCACTTGATGTCAAGGATCAGAATGCCTGCATGCTGGGAGGATATATAAGGTTCTCCCTATTGGTAAACAAATGAGTCTGCTGTTTTTCCTTTCACCTGACTCCCAGTGTCTGTGCTGTTGATGTCATACCTTCTTAGCCCATCTCCGGAGGAAGCCATTTGGATGAAGCAACATTCTAGCCTTTTTTTTTTTTTTTTTTTAACTTGAGAGTGGGTAGTGGATACTGCCTGTTTGTAGCCAGTTGTCTTGAAGTCTAGGGAGACTTGCACTTAGTATGAGAAGCCATATAGTTTTATGAGATTCTACACTAGTTATAGGCAAATGGTGTCAGAATTGAATTGTGTCTTAAGGCACCATTGGATATCCAGGGAGTAGAGTGGTCCCTCATCAAACCCTGTGACCAGCACTGCCCACTCATGCTGTGTTCTAAGCCAGGGCTAGCAGAGTCACACATGGGAATGGCTAGGTTCCCATGATGTCAGGGCTGCTCAGGAACAGCCACACCTGTGAGAACTCCTTACCTGGCTTCCTGGATGCCATCTGTCTTCACACCAGGGGACATTCTAGCTGAACTAGGACTCAGAGCCCTCTTGTGGCACCACACTGCTCCTTGTAGTTTATTTCTGTATCCCATTTGTGACAAGGTTCCTCTGTGAGCTCTGCCTGACCCCAAAGGAGGCTGACTACTTAATGGTAGTCACTTTCCATTCGAACCTCTGGGAGTTCTAGATGTATCTAGGAAGTTCTTTAGTTGCAATAGATGTTTTCTGGAGACTATGTGAACTCATTTCCTTTTCCTCAGAAACAAAACAAAAAAGTTAGGGCTGGAGAGGTGGCTCAGTGGATACAGTACTTGCCCATTGTGTACTAAGACCTGGGCTTCACCCCCAGCACTGGATAAACTAGGTGTGATGGCACACACCTGTGATCCCAGCACTTCCGAGGTGGGGACAGCAGCCTCAGTTCAGGGAGAGCTAGTCTGTACAGTGAGTTTGAGGGCAGCCCAGGCTATGTGAGACCTGTCTTAAACCAAATGAATAATAAATAATACATTGTTGCTTTTATCAGAGTTTATAATGCATAATCCTTGAAATTATGGTTTCTTTCTAACTGGCCATAAACAGAGCCCTGCCTTCTAGAACTGAATCATCTGATGTCTGCTGACTGATGGGCTCTGCTGAGTTAATTTGCATCTGTTTTGCCTGTGTGTATTCTAATGAAGTAGAGCACTCTCTGGTATGTATGTGTTGGGGGGTTAAGCTGGGTTCAAATCCAGGGCCTTATTCATGCTGAGCAAATGTTCTACCAAGGAACTGCAGTCCAGCCTCTTGCTGACATTTCTTTTCTTTGGGCTTCTGGTTCATTGGTCTCTCCTAGCTATGGATAGTTTCATTTTTAAACTCAACCTTATTTTCTGTGTCTGAGTGTTTTGCCTGCATGTGTGTGCACCACATGCCTGGTGCTCTCCGATCAGAAGAGGACACTGGATCACTTGGAACTGGAGTTACAAGTGGTTGTGAAGGGACAGGTGGGTGTTTGGATATGAAAGAACATGTGTTCTTAGCCACTCAGCCATCTTTCCAGGAACCAGAAAATTTGATGTAAAACTGTATTAGATTTTTTTGCGTGCCATCTCTCCCTGTGTGTGTGTGTGTGTGTGTGTGTGTGTGTGTGTGTGTGTGTGAGAGAGAGAGAGAGAGAGAGAGAGAGAGAGAGAGAGAGAAAGAGAGAGAGAGTCAGAAGATAGTTTTCAGGAGTTGGTTCTCGCCTTCACCCACATGGAGCTGAGTCCTGGGGATCAAATTTAGGGTGTCAGGCTTGGTGACAAGAGCCTTCACCTGCTGAAGCATCTCACTAGCCTGAACTACATAAGACTTCTACTCCTTGCGACTCTGCTTATATTAGGTTAGATGGCTTTAAAAAATTATACAGCAGGATGGTGGTGGCACCCTCCTGTAATCCAAGCACTTGGGTGGCAGAGGCAGGTGGAGCTCTGTGAGTTCAAAGCCAGCCTGGTCTACAGAGTGAGTTCCAGGAAGGCCAAGGCTACACAGAGAAACCTTGTCTCAAAAAAACAAACAAAAAGGGGGGGGGGGGATCCTGCAGAAATGAGCAAATACGGAGTTAGATAGCTATAAGGTCTTGTGCTAATGTGGAGGTGGCGTATTTGAGACCAGAGGATTAAGTCTGCCTGTCAGCTATGAAGTGGGGGCTCCTTCTTGGGAGAGGTATAGTGACCCCACGAACTGGGAGCCACCCCAGTCACACACCTAGCAAGTGAGCATGGATCTCAGTCCAAGCTTCAAGGAAGTTAACTCCACCTGTTTCTGGATGAGTCCCAAGTGGGACTTCCTGAAGACTATCCTACAGTGGGGCTGAAGACAGGGCCCATTGGTGAAAAGTGCTTGCTGTGCAAGCTTGACAGCAACCCAAGTTCAATCCCTGGAGCCACTGGAACCCCCAGTGGATGGGAAGAAGCAACTCCCAAAAGTTGTCCTCTGACCTCCACTTGTGCAATGTGGTATGTAAGAGCATACTGTACTGACACATACACACAGTGACACACATACATCACACACATATACCGCACATACATACACTACACACATCACACACATCATACATATACATATACACATACACCACATACATCACACACATCATACATACACACACATCATACACACATATATCATATATTACACACATACATACACATCACATACATACATACACATATACAACAACAACTAATAATAATAATAATAATAATAATAATAATAATAATAAATTTAAAAAGCACAGTGGCCATACTTGGTTTCAGCCTTTAAAAGCACAGTGGCCATACTTGGTTTCAGCCTTTAAAAACACAGTGGCCATACTTGGTTTCAGCCTTCTGAGGCCTCAAGGAATTCTGTGTCTTCTTTGGACTTCTGACCTCCAAGACTGACAGGCAACAGCTGACAGCTATCTCTGTCTCTCTGTCTGCCTCTCCTCTGTCTCTGTCTGTCTTCCTCTCCCTGGAACTAGGTAGTCACAGACTGTTCTCCAACTGGCATCAATCTCCTTGTCTCTGTTGCTGGAGTGACTGGATTCCAGTCATGTCCATGTCCATGTCATGTTTTTAAATTTTACCCTTAATTATATTTAGCCCCCCCACCCCCTTCTGAGACAGGGTTTCTCTGTGTAGGTTTTGGAGCCTGTCCTGGAACTCACTCCAGAGGAGAAACTCAAGCTCCATTGGGGTGGTGGTGAGCTTTGTGGCCAATGTCTTGTACACAATGCTCACATGCGTCAGAGTCACACGAAATGCTTGCTTAAACATTTCTGGGTTCCGGGTGTAGCTAGAGGGAGAGAGCTTGCTTTGCATGTTATAAGGACTTGGAAATAAAAGACAAACAAGCAAACAAATAAAAACCCAGGCAAAATTCCAAAACAAAGCAAGAGACTCCGGGTACAGCCCGGGAGTTTGACATCCCTACAGGTGGAAGGAAATAGCAGTAATTTGCTTTGGTAGAAAACTTCCTTAGAGCTCACCTTCCCCTTCTGCCCCTCCCTGCAGGAAGGAAACGGAGCTCCATCCATTGGATACGGGGCTTGTTGCTTCCGCCTCCCAGCATGATCCCTTCATTCTCATTGGCTGTCGCTGGGAGTCATCACAGAGCGGTCACTCTTCCTCCGGAACGCCAGGTTCTAGTAGCTGGAGTCTGGCTTGTGTTGGTGGTGGGATGGCGGCGGCGGAGGCGCAGCCCCTTCTGGGCAGGGACCGAGGCGGTGGCCAAGCCACCTCTGGTGAGTGAGGTGGCACTTTCATTTTTACTTTTCTGGCTTTGAACTCCAGATCCTTTTGCCTCCACTTCCCAAGTGCCGGATTACTCCACCACTACTCAACTTCTTCCTCACGGGGAAACTGAGGCTTACAGAGAGAAGTGTTTTCCTTAGAGAGAGAAGTGCCATGGTCCCCAGGCATAAGTGACTGAACATCCTTCTGGGAGTGACTTTGCTCTGGGTGCTAGGGGCTGAAGCTGTTGTCCCGAGGCTGGCCAGGGTGGCTTCCTTCCCTGTCGCATTAAGTGCTGGTGGTCCTTTCTCTCTTCCTCTTCCCTTCCTGTGGTCAGGGACATTGCTGAACTCGGAGAGAGTGGAGTCACCTTCCCAGCCATCTGGGGAGGGTTAGATAGTGGCTGAGAGGCAGGAGATCTTAGCCTCACTTTTCAGGTAAGGAAACCAAGGCCAAGAGAAGAGAGGAGCCCTTGCCACCTCTGACCTACCTAAGGTCACAGCCCTGCCTTCTGGTGTGGCCACTGCCAGTACTGCCCTGTGTGTGCAGGCCTGGCTATTCCAACTTCCCTTTCTGGACCTCTATTCCTCTTGTGTTTGGATCAGACTAGATTGGCACAGTGGTCCCTAATGCCTTTCTGTTGAGTCATGAGGCCACAGAGATCTCCAATAGGAAATGAGGAAGCTAGAGGCTGAGGTCACTCCCTGTTGTGAGTGTTGAGGCACATGGTTCAGGAGATGAATGCTTTGTGTTGGGACATCTGGGGACTTTTCTGGGGCTGCCATTTGCTGGGTCTGGGACTTTGGCAGGTTGCTTAGCTTGCATTTCAATAAAAGGGGATAGTGATGGGTTGGTGGAGGGGCACATTTGGGGGATCCAAAGAGAGATTCTGTGGAGTCTGGTGTGTGGGTCTGACAGATGTCAGGATAGCAGGGTCATGATGCTTATAAGTTCTGGCCAGACTGGACAAGTGGCAGATTCAGTCTTCTCTGTTGAGGCAAGACTCAAGGCTGGGCAGTGTCATCTGAGAGACTCTGGGGGCTCTTTGCTCTAACACTGTGACTTTGGCTAGGGCTGAGAACCCAGACAACGCTTTTTGTGTTTGCATCTTCTGGGCTGGGCTGCATCTTTCAGTCTCCACACCAGCACCTGTGGGTGAGAGATGGTCTCCAGGCGCTGGGTTTGCCTGCCCTGTGATCAGACTCCCAGAGCAGACAGCTGTTGCTGCCCAAGGACTCCAGGGGTCCCTGCAATTGTGTCCTGCTGAATCAGGCCTACCTGACTGGCCCTAGCCAAATGTTGCAGAGAGTAGTTTTATCTTGTTCTGGCTGATATGGATTAGGGTGAGGGTGAGGCTTTCTGGGCTAACTGCAAAGCTGAGGATCTTCTGGGTCCTGCTGAGAAGGGTCAGGGGGGAAACTGTGCAGAAAGGTCACACAGCATGCTAGGCAGGAATCTAGATTGTATGGAGTCTAGAGTGAGAGGCAGAGCAATCCTAGACCTGACTGTCAGGAAGTAGAGGGTAGGGAGACTTGTCCATAGGTATCATTGGGGACACAGTGTCTGAGCTCCTGTTACTGTCCCCCACTTTGCCTCAATCTGACCCTATGTGCTCAGAAGTCCCCTGGCTCACATGGTTGGAGTTATAGGTATCAACAGATGATTGCTACCTAAGGTGATGAGCTCAGAGCATGGTAGATATCCCTGGGGGAGTTTCTGGACCCTCGGGTTGGAGGAAGATTCTCTGGCAGAGTCGGCAACCTGGGCAAGGGCTCAGAGGCTCTGGAGAGCCAGGCCTCCACAGGGTCAAGTTCAGAATGTGTGCCATGGCTGGGGCAGGGTGGCAAAGCAGCAGGAGATGGAGTGGGTGGGCAGAGTGGGTTCCCAAAATTTCCAGGATGGGGTGGAGTGTGGACCTGGAGTGCTGGGAACCCCTAGAAACCCATGACATGTCCCCTAGAACTTGTGGTAAACTTCCTAGAACTGCAGGGTAGGGAGATGCAGAAATGTGAGTGGGAGGGCCTTCTTCAGGCACCTGTTGCTTGGGTGAGCTGAGAGCAGGACCAAGAATCTTACACACTAGCAGCCAGAAGCTAGATGAAAGGGCCTCTGTTGATATAGAACCCCAGGGTGCTGACCCACACCCGTGACACCTTGTCTGGGTAGACATGAGTCCTTGTAGCCAGTTCTGAGCCTCAGTTAGTTTTTTTTGTCTAAGAAGTTACTGTGGTTTATGGCTCCAGGCCCAGGTTACTCTCTGGGCATGGCTGGGTTCCAGACTCTCTCAGCTGTCTTTCTCATTGGGCCAGTTGGTCTTCAGTTCTGCTATGCTGGGAGCACAACAGTATGGCGTCTTGTTCATAGCCATTCCAGGAAACCTCCAGGAATGCCAGCACCCATAACCCTCAGATCCTCTCTGAGAAACAGGTTGTCTTTAGGATAAGCCTCATGGAATACATGTGGGGAGACTGAGGTCCTGGTTGATAAGGTATTGTAGCATGGCCAGGGCAGAGCCAGGAGGGAGGCACATCTCTGGTAATCCTCTGGGGTTTTACTGCCTCTGTTCTGCGACCCTAGATGTGAACCTCAAGAACCAGAGCAGGTGGCTCTTCAGAGACAAAGAACACCCTGTGTAGGCAACCGCTGGGGCTCTGTCCATGGCTGTACACTGGCCTCGGGGCTTCTTGCTATGGCGGCTCTGTTCTTAGCAGGGCATGGTTCCTGTGGGTCGGTCCCAAGAGGCCAGATTTTACAAAAAGCAGAACCACAAACTGAGATAGCTGGATTGTTCACCTTGTTTCCAGCATGATGGGATGTGAATTGTTGAGGCCGTGCAGCCCCCTAGCTCCTCAGCTCAGGGTTCTATTTGGAGTCTGCCTGGCCCTGAAGATGGGGAGGGAGTGAGGGCTCTGTGGCTGTTGGTATTGGCAGAAGAGTGAGAATCTAACCGTAGTTCCTCATGTTGATGTGAAATCTTGTGTTTGTTGGACAGAGGTTACCCCACCTCACAGTGGAGGATACTGGCTGAAGTGGAGGCAGCATGGGTAATGATGGCAGGGTGATGATGGCAGCCCCTTCACTGAGTCTGCTTGGGTACCAGTGGCTCCTGCACCACATGGCAGCCGCTCAGGAGCCAAGCAGGTGGCCACTGGCATCAACCTGACGAGGTTGGCCATTCCTGTTCTTTCTGAGCCCTGGGTTCTACAGGTTGCTACTGCTGTCTTTGTGCTGTGTCCTGGGCATTGTTGGTCATGGGCTAGAGCTGCCTTTGCTCTGGGTCTGATTCCTCTGCCCATGGCATTTGTGTTTTTACTTGGTTGGCACTCTGGCCTGGACAGGTACCTGACCTGCTTCAGAGTGGAGGGCCTCTGGCTGCAGGCAGCTGCAGCTGGCTGCCTTCCTGCATGTGCTCATCCTGTAGAGGTGAGGCCACACTGTTGCATTTGCTCACCTGCTATGTTCCCTCTGCCTACAGGTGCCACAACCAGTCAGGAGCTCTGTATAAACCAGGCTGTGGTCTTCATTGAAGATGCCATAAAGGTGTGTAGTGGCTGCCCTGATGACCAGGAGTCTACCTACCCTATCCCGTTGTTCCTTATTGTCCTGGGGTGGGGACCTTCCTTTAGGATAGACACAATGGCAGGAACCTGGGCCCAGCTCTCACTTGTCCTCTGATGGAGGCTGTCTCCTTAGTGTTGGAGTCATACTGTCATTGATTTAGTGTGTACTGAAGCCTGTCTTGGACCACCCTGTGCTAAGCCCAGGCCTGGGAGACATCTGCAGGGTGGATACAGTTGTGTTGGAGAGCGAAGCTGGCCTTCCATACACAACTTTAGCCTGTACTAAAGGAGCTCTCGCTACTGAATAGGCAGTGTAGCTTGTGCTGGTCTGAGCCACAGCTCAGTGAGGGACTGTTGTCCCCCTACTGACACAGACTGGCTGTAGCACATCTGGATGAGACCTGCCTCTGGGGAAATGGATCACTGCATTGGACCATGTGTGGTATGTGGGTACAGTCAAGGCATACACATTTGTGGCATTAAGGGGGACCCTCTTCCATATCCATATGTATATGCCACTGTAGGGACCCCACTCAAGTCCAGTGTGTGGCAGAACCTACTCACAACCCCGTGTGTGAGGTGCTGAAGAGACCCAACTCAAACCTCTTTGTGTACAGATAGCTCTTGAGGACAATGCTAAAGCCCATTTGTGTGCCCCACTGGGCCAGGAACCCTAGTCACTTCCCTGGATTGTGTGGCACTGGAGAGACCCTGCTCATTTCACTCTGTGCGTGGCTCGGTGTTGGGGGAGGATCTGTCTCGTGCTCATCATGTGCCCTTTGTCTCCAGTACCGCTCCATCTACCATCGCATGGATGCTGGCTCATTGTGGCTTTACCGCTGGTATTACTCGAACCTGTGCCAACGGTGAGACTGAACCCCAGTGGACCAGGCTGTGCAGACCTGCTTGGTGGGGTTGGGCTGATCCTAAAACTGTCTTGAGCTAAGCACGATCCTACTCCTCATGGGCATAGAGATGACCCCTGGTCCCTCCTCCATGGAGGAGCTAGCTGCAGTCAGAAGGCTACTGGTGGTAAGGGCTTCCTTTTCAGAATTCTGGGTCAGCCTAGCTGCTGAGTTTTGGGCAAGGCTGTATTACTTGACCAAGCGTGGTAGCCACAGCCAAGAAATGCCTTCTACCAACGAGACCCTAGTGCACCTCCTAGTTGGCTTCCTGGCCCAACAGGCCTCTCACCCTCTGGCGATGTTTGTCCCCCTTCCCAGAGTGCTGGGCTTCACCATTTTTTTGATCCTGGCCTTGGCTTTTGTGGAGTTCCCATCGTCATTCACACGAACTGCAGATGTGCGCTACCGCTCCCAGCCCTGGCAGCCACCCTGCGGCTTGACAGAGACCATTGAGGCACTCTGCATGCTGGTCTTTCTGGTTGACCTCTCTGTGAAGGTGAGGTGGGTGGTACGCAGATCCTGCCCACAAAGCTCTCTGGCGTTGTCCAGATGCCTGAGCTGTCATTGTGTGGTTGCCGGTGAACCTTGGTGCTTGAATGTAGGCCTGGTGTGTTTTGTGTGTGTGTGTGTGTGTGTTTGATTTGTGTGCTCAGGGTTTCTTTCTTTTTTTTTTTTTTTTTTTTTTTCTATCTTTGCCCTTGATGTCATGGGCAGCTCTAGGTTTTAACTGGTGAGAATTTGATATTCACTGGCTGAATGGCTGGTACATGAGTGTATTCTCAAAGAGAAAGAGAGCAGAGGTTTTTTAATCCAGGGCTGTGACCTCTGGAGGCAGGAGTGATGGTGGAATAGCAAGGGGGCAGGATGGGCAGGGCCCTGCCTCCTGGATCACCTTCCTAGGGAGGCTGTTGAGCATACCCAGTGCTTTTGTCCTCCTATCTTTTGCAATGCTCTCCTGTTTGCTCAGCATGCACTGGTAGCTTAGATAGACGAAGCTGGCGGAACCCCTGCCACCAATGAGGAGCCCATCCAGAGAGGCTAAGTGCTACCCCTGAGGTGACAGTGAGCCACTAGCAGCCTTGCAGGAATGCATGCTTCCTGACCCCTGCTCAACTCCTCACTCCCCACCAGTGCACAGAGACTGGACCATTGAACTCCCCACTCTGTTGTCCAGGTCCTTGGGTGTGCACTGATGTCCTCTGCCTGGCTGCAGGCCCATGTCTGCCTGACTTGATGTTCACCCCTCCTCATCTCTTGCAGGGCTACCTGGTGGGGCAGGCCCAGTTACAGGAGAACCTGTGGCTACTGTCCTACTTTGTGGTGCTGGTTGTGTCCATGGTGGACTGGATTATTTCACTGAGTCTCGCTTGTGGGGAGGTAGGTGGTGCGTCAGCTCTGAGACTGAGACAACACTGTGGGTATGGTGCACATTTGAAGCTGAGCCCTGGGGCTTGTGGACACATGCCCAGTGCTCTTCATGTCCTGGAGGTCTTTGCTTCCCCTCCCCCCCCCCTCTGCAGGAAAAGGACTGTGGCTTGAAGGCCAAGGTTTCCCCTGTGGTGTTCCTGGTGAGAGGCCCTGGAAGCAGGGTCTAAGCTGCAGTGAACTCTCCTGGTTAGGTCCCTTATAAGAGAGCTGCCTCAGGGCATCACTGTTCCATAGTTCCACACCCAGAGCTGTCTGAACTCAGCACTAACAAGTCGTATCCGTTGTCTCAGCTCTGACCACAGTACCGCGCTTCCTCAGAAGCACCCAGGACCCGGGAAGGTAGTGTGGGTAGCAAGGCAGGGGAGGTTGATTAGGCTTCCATGGATCTGTTAGTGTGTGATGGGAAGACATGTACAATGGTGGGAATTGAATGGAGGGACTAAGACTGAGGACTTAGTGGAGCCTAGAGGGCTGATGGGAAACAATGCTGGAGTCCTAGGAGAATCCCAGCTGCAGAGCTGGCTTGTCCTCTGCCCCTTGGGTGGGTCCTGCCTTAGGTAAGGACAGCCGGAGATGGGAAGGAGGGAAAATTGTTTCTCACCACCAGTCTGAAGCCTCCCCCAGGCCCTGCAGGGAGCTGATGACAGAGAGTGGTGGATGGTAGGTCCCTGCCCTTGTCCCCAGAAGAAACTGAGGGGCACAGAGGCACAGTTCCACAGCTGTTTGGCACCTTCTACTTCCTGTGTCCGCTCAGGACAGGATTTTGCCCTCCCTTGTCAGATGCAGTTCCTCTTCTGATTGAGGAAGGGGTGCCCATGCCTTTCCAGAACAGGAGGGAGTAGCCTACAGCCACCATTTCCACTGAAGCTTCCCAGGGGTCTCTGCACCTGGCAGGCCAAGTACCCAGCCGTACCTCTGCCAAGGGTGCTTACGTGCTGCCAGGAAGGAGGATGATGAGGAAAAGAAGCTCCTTGTGACACACAAAAGAGTCCACCCAGTGAATGAGCCAGGGTGGGACGCACAGGCACAGAGCAGCCCTGGCCACCTCGGTAGTCCTTATAATGTCCCTCTGCAGCCTGCTGCTGTCCTTGTGCCCATGTTAGCTGGCCAGGCTTGTCATGGATACTGAGGCCTTTACTCTTAGAAGTGGATTCTCTAGTTGTCCTCTTTTTTTTTTTTTGTAGCTGGAGTGCTGTGTCATCCCCTTCCAGGGCCTTGTACATGCTAGGCAAATGTTTTACCACTGAGTCACTCCCTGGCCTCCCAGCTGTAGTTTTTCCTGGAGGACTTGGGGCCTCCTTATCACTCTGAGTGGCAGTGTCCTGGTCTGTCCTCTGGAGTTGGTTATTCACCCTTTGGACAAGTTAGGTTCCCATGTGGTAGGACCAGTGTGTATTCTCGGTGGCTTTTGTCTTTGGAAGTTGGTACTTCCAGACTAATAGAGCCCAGAACGGCAAGATGAATACTAATATGCAGCTTCATGTCCGGCTGAGTCCCCTGAGACTCTGGACCCTTTCTTCAGGCCACAGATCTGGCAGCCACATTGCAGGAGGGTTCCTCTGATTTGCAGCAGCATGTGTCACACTGAGGTAGTGGGAACGGATCACTGGGTCATTTCCAAGCTCTAGGATGATGGTGCTTGGTGAGACACCATGGGCAGGAGGGCAGAGTATGGCTGACACAGCTATTTTTCCAGGGCTGGATCAGTGACCCACATGGGGAAGGGTCTTGTGCTGGGCTCTGCTTTGCAGAGTGGGTGTGTCATTGGCCCCAGGTAGAACTTTTACCTCTGTCCTGGTGGCTACTTCCTGGGCCTGTTTGGAGGGACCTGTCCACATATGTCCTCCAAACCCCTTGTTTCCAATCCTTCAGCTCTTTCCACAGCACTTTCTGTTCTCAGGAATCATGTCCAGTTAGCAGGATCCTTGCCTGCCACCTCTCTCTGAGGGACTTTTTTTTTAACTAAGGCTGTCATGCCACATGAGGTCCATCTCTGCTGGTGGCTGTGTGGCTCAGAACCTTTGTAGCTTTGAGGGCCTTCTTGAAGTACTCCCACAGATGCTGTGTGTCTTGTTGGGAAGGACCATGCACCTGGCTTGCTTTGCCAGACCAGGTTTGGCTTCTGTCCAAATAAGTCCTCATGGTAGATGGGTTGGGTGACAGAAGTTCTGCCGGGCACTGGTGGTTGTGACCACATGCACTCTCTCTCGGAATACTTGCTTCCACTCTTGGATCTGGGTTCTGATTTTCAATGTTGTCATCCTTGAAGAGGTCACCTGGATCAATTGTAGTCTGTGGCATTGCTAGGCCCACACAGACAGCAAGACCATAAATAAGTAGCCATTGTGTTCCTGTGTGCCTGGAGGTGGTCCAGGTTCCTGGAGGGGTAACGAGTGTCTGGAGGGCTGGAGAACACAGGTTCTGGGCTGCCACTGTGGGTGGTATGTAGTGGTTCAGGGAGCTGAGGGCGCTGATCTCTCAGTCATGGGAATCCAGCAGGGTAGCCAGGTTGGGTCAGAGTCCTGAGTAGTTTTCTGGTTGTCTTGGTTCCTGTTGCCATCTCTCATTCTGTTCCAGGCTCTGGGACCTTTCTGTGTGAGCACAGCCTTAGGAGCACCAACAAGCCCTCACAAGGGTCCCTTGAGAGCCTGTCATGTTGGTGCTGGTGGGCAATTGTCCTGTGTTACCAGGTGCTAGGAAGAGAGGCTGCTGATAGATAATTGCTATGTGATGGGTGCAGTGATAAAGAGGAACCTAGGATCATGAGTAGGGGGTGGGAGGCATCAGACCAAAATACAAGGAATGCTGTGAGCTGTCAGCACTGTGGCCAGCAGGCCTAGGATGGCTAGAGTGATCGGCAGGGACTACTCCCTTCTTCATGCTCTGGGATTTCTAGAAGGAAGGTGTGTGTGTGGTCCTGGTTCAGTGGCTGGCTTCTTGTCTTGCAGCCCTTGCGGGTGCGCCGATTACTCCGTCCCTTCTTCCTGCTGCAGAATTCCTCCATGATGAAGAAGACCCTGAAGTGTATACGATGGTCACTGCCAGAAATGGCCAGGTGAGCACTGGGGCTGGAAGCTGCAAGCTGGGCCAGAGGAACCAGAGGTTAGGCCTGCTTCTATGTGGGTATGGTTGGGGCAGCCCTCTGGGTACTCCCAGCCCAGAATCCTGCAGGAGTCAGTGGGTAGTGTTTGGGGTCCTGGTCAGACCTGGTCAGACACTATCATACCTACCACACCCAATTGCTGAGTTGAGCAGGTGCCTCATTTCTCATCCCTGAGTTCTGTTGCTTGTCAATCCCTGCAGCTTTGTTTCAGCTGCCTCTTACACTGTGCAGCTATGCTGACCTGGAATCCCTGTAGCTCTTGGAGCTCAGCGCTGTGGAGCTTCAACTCTCCAGCCCTCTTGGCTCCTGCCAGAAACAATGTCACCCATGCCCTCCCTCTTCCTCCAGTCCCTTCCCTGGTAGGCCACCTGCCTGTCCAAAAAGATGGAAGTGACCTCTGTCCTCTGTGTTCTGGTCCCTGGCTGGCATGTCTCTGGGGTTGTGTCCCACCACAGACAGGAGCCAGGGTGGGCTTGGCTTCATGTTCCTGTCCCAGGGCTGAAAATACTCAGTGTCTCCAAGGAGAGGAGGGAACACTGTGCCCATGGCAGAGACCATGGGCAGGATGGTGTCATGCCTCTTTGGGTGTGTGGCCCGTGCCATACCAGACTGAGCCCCGTCCTTCCTCCCAGTGTCGGGCTGCTGCTGACTATCCACCTGTGCCTCTTTACCATATTTGGGATGCTACTGTTCTCTATTGGTGAGAAGGTAAGCATGGCCTTGGCTGTAGGTGGGGCTCATGGGCCCTTGTCCCGCAAAGCCTGCCTGTTCTGCAGTAGCCAGAGTGGCCAAGGGAGACAGACCAGGAAGTGAGTCATGACACCTCTTAAGGGTCTGTCTTTCACATGGCCAGTGTTCCTATCAGTGAAGCCTTTGTCCACTCCTGTCCTCTGTGCTGGCTGCCTCCTCCGTGTCCCTGTATGACAGGCTCTTCACTGAGGTGGCTTAAATGTTCCTCTACAGTCTGATCATGCCTCAGCCAGGGCTTCCCTTCCTGGCACCTGCTCCAAGCCCTAGCAGTGCTTGACTAAGTTCCTGGCTTCTGACTCTGGGCCCCTGCCCTGCCCTGCTATAGTTGAGGCTTTGACTCTAGCAACTTGCTGCCATGGGGAGATGTCTACTTGTCTGTCCATGGGGATATCTGCTTTGGTCGCTCAACTTTAGGTTCTGTGTATCTTTCTTCACGTGTAGCAAGGGTATGTCCAGGCCAGGTTACTGCCCTCCAGCTTGGGCCATCTTGCATCTCTGCATCTGTTGTGGGGTATGACTAGTCTGGTCACAGCTGGTCACCTCGTGACCCTGAGGTGACATAATGGAGCTATGCTGCCAGGGTGGGAGAAGACAAGATAGTGCCTTCCAACCCTGGAGTGCTGGGCTGGTCCTGAGTGTGCCTGCATGTGAGTATCTCTGTACATGTGTGTCTCTCATGGCTGCATGACTCTCTAGATAGCTCTTGTCTGTGGGCGTCTCAGGATGCGTAGTGTGTGACTGTGGGTGTTCCCTGCCGTGCCTATGTCCAGCGGGTCGGTCTCCCAACCCTGTCATTCCTGACACCCATGCCCTCTACTCCTAGTCATTGTGGCATGTCCATGTCTGTGAGTCTGTGTTTGTGCCATTTGTATGCTTGTGTGTGCCTTGTGTGTTGTGTGTCTATGTGTACATGTCTGTGAGTGTGTCAGTGTCTATATATGAGTATGCATATCTGTGTATTGGTCTGTATATGGGCATGTCTCCATGTCTGTGTATGAGTGTCTTTCTGTGTGTATATGGTGTGCCTCTGTGTGCATGTCTGAATGCGTCCCCATGTCTGTGTCTTTATTTCCATGTCTTTGTGTAGTGTGTCTCCATGATGTGTCTAGTGTACCCTGGGTCTATGGGTGCATGTCTAGGTGGGCAGGGGCTAGACCCGCCTTCCATACTCTTGAGACCTCTGTGTGATTGCCTCATGACTATGATCACTGGGTTAGGCAGGCAGGCAGGCAGTGTGGGGGCAGGCAGTGTTTATAGCCTCAACCTCAAGATGAATGTGGGGCCTCTCCCTAGGAGTGCTATATCCAGAACTACCAGAAGGTTCCTCCTACAGACTGGGTTTCTGTCCCATGAAGGGGAACCAGGCTTAGCAGGATGAGGGGTGTGTAATTGAGGGTGACTTCCTGACATGGTCTTGGTAAGTGTTCCATTCCTTGTCCTCTGTTGTAGTTGGGAGGGTGTGAGGACTGACCCATGCTGAGTTACTTGTCCTTGGCCATCTCCAGCTGTGCCAGCCTGGCCTGGAGAACAGGTTGAGAGCCTGCTGCGTGTCCCCATGGCCCAGCCAGGTATCTCCAGGCTTGTAATAGCTGAGGACGCAGCACCTAACCTTGTTTGAGCCCCTTCTGTAACTGTTGTCCATAGCTGGCCCACTTGATACCCACATCTTGCTCACCACATGGTGCTGGCATTTGGGTCATGTGGTCCCTAGCAGCAGCAGTACTCACAGGCTGTGTGCTGGATCAGGGCTATGGCCGTGTGTTGGCCGTGGGCTGGGTATGAACCCAGGTGCCTACAGCCATGGCTTTCTCTGCTGCCGCAGGCCCATGGCTCAGAAGAGCCCACACAGCTTGTGGAAAGAGTGGACTTGTGGGGGTGCTGCAAGAGACCTGCTGGGAGATAGATGGGCCAGGCCAAGGGCTCCTGCCTTGGAGACCTCTCTTCCCCCTGACCCCCATCCTCGTTGTCTTGTCTGAACTGATGCGGCTGCTAGAACCTTCCTCAGCCCACATGAAACCTTCCCGGAGCTCACTCAGTGAGTTAGGGGATTGGTTCAGGCCCTAGAGGGCTACCTTCAGTCCTCTAATACTGTCCCCGGACTTGTGCTTGAGAGACGGCTTGTCCTCTGGGTCCCTTAGCTGAGCAGTGTCTTTGAAGGTGTCTGATGTTCTGTCCCGAGTCCAGGTGGGGCTATCTGGTCCTCCAGTAGCAGTACCTTGCCTCTTCCATGTCCAGCATGTCTCTCAACCTTATTGTTTCTTGCGACAGTCATGTCCCCCACCCCCTAGTCATTTGTGGCATCTGTTAAGCACTAGTCACTCATCTGTTGTCAGGCCCCATGTGTGGCAGATGGGTGGCAGTCCTATTCTGTAGATGAGACAAGTGGGATCTGGGGTTGTTTGTCCTGGATCCTGTGCAGCCGGGAGACTGCATCGGGTGGCTACCTGCTGGAGGTTGGCAGAGTTGGCCTTTGAATGGCAGGGGGAACTTGACTTTGAAGTTGTTTTGGGAGAAAGTTGGTTCTGTGAGCATGCGGTCTGCTTCCTCTATGTCACTTGCCCTGGAGTCTGCAGCTTGGTAGGCGCGGGGTAGCTCAGGGGACAACCCTGAGTTCAGGAGTCTGGAGTTGAGGTTACTTAGAGGCAGATACACTGCCCCTATTTACTGCCCTCCACGTCAGGGAGGACAGAGGCTGGGCTCCCAGGTTTGGCTACTTGTGTTGACAGCTGTGCTAAACCATAGCTGTGTGGATAAGGCCTCTGAGTGCCATGAGTGGCTAAGGACCTCTGCTTCTGGATTAGTGAGTCTCTCCCAGGGGTCCCATCCCAAAATCCCAAATCACTAGGGACACCCACTCCCCTGTGGCAGCTACCTTGAGGCCACACTTTCCAGTCTGGGTCTTTGCCTGTCTTGCTCCCCGGATTTTCCTCACTGTGCACACAGCACCTGACAGTCAGGCTCCAAGGAGAAGGACTGGTCCTTCATGTTGTTGCTTGGTTGCCTGGCTGCTATGCTGCTATGCTCAGCTAGGCTGGCTCAGGGTTTCCGTTGAAATTCTGGATAGGCCATTGTGGTCAGAAGCCTGAGTATGTGCCCGCAGGCCTTTTGTCCAGAGCCTGCTGAGAAGTGATGGGCAGATGCAGGTCGGAGGTGCTGACCCTACTCCCACCCCTAACCTGTGTGTGTGCCTGGCTGTGGGTGTGTCAGACTACGACCTCAGCTGGGGACAGAGGTCCAGGTGGTTGCCTCATCTGCTCTCAGGATGAAACACAGAACAAGGAGAGGCTGGCCTACTTCCGGAATCTTCCAGAGGCATTGACCTCACTCCTCATACTGCTGACAACTTCCAACAACCCTGATGGTGCGTGTGGAGTGTGGGAGATGGGATGGGCAGAGAGCCTGGCCTGGGAGGGCTGGTCAGGATGCTGAGTTGTGGAGCTTGCTTGCCCTGAGTGTGTGGGCTCTTTCCATGGCCCCCTTTCTTCCTTTCCTCTCACCTTTGTGTTCTTGGTCCCTTCCAATCCCTTCTTTCTTGCTTCCCTTGGTCTTGTCGCTTTATTCCTTGGAGAATCTGAAAGTGTCTGATGGTAAGTGGTGATGTGGCATTGATCAGTGGTTCCTATATGGCCTCTTTGGAGCCTAGCCACCCTCCCTCTCGCCACCCAGGCCTGCTGTGAGGTGAGTGCCATCAGGAGCATCAAGTGTGAGACTTAACTGGCCATGGCTGCCAGGTCCTCCAGTTACTCCAGTGTAGGCTGTGCCAGGATGGGGAAGCTGCAGTCCTGATATCTGCTGCAGCTGGCCACTGAGGCTAGCGCTGTTTGCCCTGGTCTTGGGTTTTCTCACAGCCTTGGAGACCTCCCTCGAGGGCAGCCTGGGAATGATTCCCATCCCAGAAGTGCTGGTAGCCTGTCTCCAAGCCAGTCCCTGTGGGGAGAACTGTGTGGCCTGGGGTGTGGTCACAGGCAGGCCCATCAATGAAGGTGTGAGCATCCATCCCAGGGGGTACCAGTCATGGAACATGAAGACCCCAGCACCCCCCCAGGGTCAGGATGGAACTGGGCCAGGTGCTACAGTGTGGTTTAGCCTCTGACTTTTTCCTTCTGTCAGTGATGATTCCTGCGTATATCCAGAACCGAGCCTATGCCCTCTTTTTCATATCCTTCACCTTGATAGGTAAGTGCACGTGTGTCTGTGTGGATCCAGGCAGGCCTCCCATGTAAACTGGCCTCCACTTGTTAACTCTCCCCGGCTTGCTTCTCCCTGTAACTTTGCCTCAGTCTGCCCTCACCTGTCACTTACCCTATACCCCTTAACTTGACCTTAGCCTGTTTTCACCTTGTAGCTTTACCTCAGCTCATCCCCTAGACCTTCACCTTCAACTGACCTCTCAGTGTGTCCCCACCGTGTAATTTCACCCCAGCCTGTCCCGCCATAGCTTCACCTCAGCCCACTCCCTCAGCTTGCTGCCAGCTTACACCTTCATCTCAGCTTGTCCGCTTACGGCTTCGCCTCTGCTCCCCACTCACCTGCTCCCCTGTAGCTTCCTTGCTGTATACCAGCTCCGTAGCATGGCCCCTCTGCATACTGCTGACCCGTCCTTCTCCTCGGCGTGTTCTACCCCTAAAGTTTCACTGCAGCTGCCCATCCTGTACCTGTGTGTGCCTCCACACCACCTGTATCTTACCTCAGGCTGCTCCCCACCCCAGCTTCATCTTAGCATGCCCTCCCCACTCTTCCCTCTGGTGGTATGTGACAGTTGATGCTCCTGTCTGTCTTCCTATCCGTGGCTAGGAATACTTGGCTTTGCAAGGATGTGGGAGTTTGTGGGTTGCCTGGGTCCCCGTTATGACACAGAGGAGAACTCTGTGAGTGTGACTATGATTGGTCATCCCGTGCTTCTGGCCCCCATGGCCAGGCTTGCTGAGACCTTTGAGCCCGGGGATGGTTTTGATCACTGGCTGCTGCAGGCTCTGCCCCACTGGCCTCTGGTCAGATTCTTGTTATTGTTTTCCCCTTTCCTAGGAAGTTTGTTTCTGATGAACCTGCTGACAGCCATCATCTACAATCAGTTCCGTGGCTACCTGATGGTGAGCTGCCCTGAGCCCCTGCTGGGCTGTGCTAGAGCTGGCCCCAGAGGCCAGGCAGAGTGGGCCTTGAGTCAACTGACCCTGGTGGGATGGGGAGCTGGTTGCTACCTCTTGTGGACCAGCTCAGATAAACTATCTCTGCTATGGGTCATTTCAGTAGCACAGGTATTGCCATGGCTACCCAGGGTTTCCTTCTCTGCCCTCCCACACCAAGAGGAAAACACCCAGAGGGTGCAACTCCTGGCGTGTCCGATCTGCACCCTAAATGCACAGAGAAGAAATGCAGGCCTTAGAGACTTGCATAGTGAGTCATGGTCGGCAGCCATCCCTGCCTTGCCTTGGCTGGGCTCCCTCCTCTGAGGACTGTCCCTTGTAGAGGTACCCAATGAGTGAGGGGCTGGCTCCCTAGGCTCCCCCTTAGCCCACTCCCAGGGCAGGGTAGACAACGATGTGTGCAGGAACTGCCGGAGCTGGGTGTTCAGAGTCATTGTCTTTACAGAAGTCTCTACAGACCTCGTTGTTCCGGCGGCGGCTGGGGGCCCGAGCAGCCTATGAAGTCCTTGTGTCCACAGCAGGACTGGCTGGAGCCACCCCTGAGGCGTGAGTGCTGGGTTGGGTCCTTCCCCAGGACACTATGGTTTTTGCTTCTGGGAAGGGGAGCTGGGTGCTCATTAGGGGTTTCCTGAGTAGCCCCTGCTGGCTGGCGCCAGACTGGATATTCCATTTGGAGCTGTGTAAACTGCCAAGCCCTTGGTGCTTCCGTTATCCTGTTTACCCTTGCCTGTTAATCCACTTGTGTCTAAAGCAGGCATGCACACTGCCAGGTGAACAGAGAAAGGAGCAGATAGCTCTGGTGTGCCACTGAGGAAGTTCTGGCTTGACTCTCAGTGGCAGCAGCATCTGCTGACCCTCTTCAAGGGGGCATCTCCAGGGGGGGTCTTAGATGGGGCCTGTGGGACCCTTCAGCTCACCTCACGTGGAAGCTCACCAAGGCTTGTTTTCCACGAAACAGGGAGGATTCATAGCCAAGTTCAGGCCAGTGGAACTGGCACTAGACATACTCAATGGGGTGATCTCTTTGTCATAGAGTCGGGGTAAATCCTGAGAACTTCCTTCGAGTACTTCAGAAAACCCAGCTGCACAGTGACCACAAACAGGCCATCATGCAGGTTGCTGCTCTTCCTGGGTCTGCCCCAGCTCCTGTTGGGTGGGTCGTCAGCCCAGTGCTTACCACCCATGGATCGGGGGCTCAGGCATCGCTCCCCCATTGCTAGTGGCCGACCTGGCCTTCCTCCTACAGAAAGTGCACTCCTATGAAGGCCGCCCAATGCTGGCTGATGAGTTCCAGAAACTCTTCGATGAGGTTGACAAAGGTGTGATCAAAGAGGTAAGTAGGTCTTGCCTGTGCCACGTGTCCAGCCTGGGCTAATGGGATTCCACTCCCCATTGTTTCTAATGACCACTGCCAGGACTTGCCTGTAATGGATCCCTGGTTCCTGGGATTGGCAGTGCGAATCCTTTGGCTCTTGGCAATTTGGGGTGAATTTGTTGGCTAGAGACATTTACTATTTGGGGAAACAGTCTGGGTAAGCCTGACACAGAGGAACATCCCATGGCATTTTTCTGTCTGAAACAAAGTCCCCTGGCCATTCCTCTGGGAGGTCTAAATGCTAGCCCTCTCCAAGGCCTTTGCCTCTCACTCATGACACTTGTGCACAGTCCCTTGGGGGTCTTGGCTTCTGCTTCAGCCTCAGTCAGAGGACAAGAGTGTTCCAGTGTGGGTTTCTGGGGTGAGCAGCCTTGTCAGGCATAGCTCAGGTGCCCAGGCGGGCAGAAGGACTGTTGTTCCTGCCAGTCATCCCCGAGAGGACTAAGGGAGGTCCCAGATCAGGGCAAGCTAAGATGGCATCGGATGTGTCCTGCTGCGTGAAGCTGTGACACTTCCAGAGTTATCTGACCCAGCTGCTCAGCCTACCTTGGGACACATCATAGCCACAGCAAGTGACATTTAATGTCTCATGTTGTTCATTTGGTATGCTTTTATAATTTTAATTATTTATTTGTTTATTTATATTTTTATTTTCAAGACAGAAGTGTTTCTTGTGTATTCCTGGCTGTCCTGTGACTTGCTTTGTAGACCAGGCTGGCCTCGAACTCAGAACTTAGAGATCTGCCTGCCTCTGCCTTCTGAGTGCTGGGGCATGTGCCACAACTGCCTGGTGCAATTTTGATTTTTGTTGTATTTTATGTACCTTTTGTGTGTATATATGTGCATACATGTATGTCACAATGCATGTGTTGGTCAGAGAACAACTTACAGGAAGCTATTCTCTTTGTCCATTTGGTTCCTGGGGTAGAACTCAGGTCATCAGTCTTGGTGGCAAGGCCTTCACTCACACATCTTTTATGTGTATGAGTGGTTTATCTACATGTATGTGTATATACCATTTGTATGTCTGGTCCCTGTGGAACAGGTCAGAAGAGGGCATTGAATCACCTGGAACTGGAATTACAGATGGCTGTGGGTGCTGGGAGCAGAGACCAGATCCTTTGCAAGAACAGATAGTATTCTTTTGTTTTGTTTTGTTTGTTTTTCGAGACAGGATTTCTCTGTGTAGCTTTGTAGACCAGGCGGCCTCAAACACACAGGGATCTGCCTGTCTCTGCCTCCTAAATGCTGGGATCAAAGGCATGCACCACCACTGCCTGGATAAGAATAGCTAGTGTTCTTAACTACTGAGCCATCTCTCTAGCTCCCAAGCATGCTTTTTATTTTTTTTAAACTGTTTTATTTATTTATGTGTGTGGGTATTTTGTCTGCATTTATATCTGTGCACCACATGTGTGCTAGAGCCTGCAGAGGCCAGAAGAGGGTGTTAATCTCCAGGGACTGGAGTTACAGATAGTTATTAGCTGCAATGTGTGTACTGGGAATTGAACCTGGGTCCTCTGGAAAAGCAACCTGTCCTCTTAACCACTAAGCCATCTTTCTAGCACCACATTTGCCCCCCCCACCCCAAGCATACATTTCAAATGACTAATGTCATATTGTTTACATACAGGTCACTAGACACTTATCACTTGAGCTGTATAAGGTCACTGCTATAAAGGTCATTATGAATAGGCTGTCATGTGTTTGGGATTATTTCTGAGGCTGGATAGTCAGGGCAGGAGGTAAGGCAGGAGAATGTCACCATGGCTCTGAGAGTGTGGTTTCCTTTTGTAGCACCCGCCGATGCCCCAGTACCAGTCTCCATTTCTGCAGAGTGCACAATTCATCTTCAGTCATCACTACTTTGACTACCTGGGGAACCTTATCGCTCTGGGAAACCTCGTGTCTATCTGTGTGAGTGGGGGCTTCCCCTGTGGTGGTGTGGGAGGCCCTCTCCTGCAGCCAGCCTTCCCTTGTAAACCCTCCCTCCCCCTTACACACACTGTTGCTGGCCACATGGTAAGCCATCCTCCTCTGTGGCTCTGTAGGTGTTCCTGGTGCTGGACTCAAACCTGATGCCTGGTGAACGTGATGACTTTGCCCTGGGGGTGAGTTCAGCGGCTGCTACCCTGTGAAGCTGTCAGCTCTGCCTGGGGCTGAGCAGTGAGGAGGAGGAGGGTTAGGGACAAGTGGCTGAGTCCAGCCAGAACAATGATCCCTCACAGGGGTGCAGGCTGTGGTTGGGACAGAGGGTGTCTGGGTGGGGACAGAGTGACTCCCATGGGAGTCTGAGGGTCCTGTAGAGAAGGAGACACCGACTGGGCTGCAGTGCTAATTGGGTCCAGTGGGCTGTGTGTCTTCAGGCTTTGAGCTTTGCCTCCAAGAAGTAAACTTGATCTCTTCTGGTATTAAAAGGTTCTGTCAAATCCCTTGGGAGTTGAAGCTTTCCACTTTGAACTTTGAGCAGAAGCCTAGTGTTAGATTCTGTTAGTGGTTTCATGGAGGCAGCCTGACAGCTCTGAATGACTAAGACTGTGTACACCTGGGAGCGAGCCTCCCCATGTCTGTCCTGTTGTGTGTGTGAGGGAGTCTGATGGCCCCCTTTAGAGGAAGAGTTACTTGTGTGCACTTCCCGGTACAGGCCATCTTCCTCGATGAGCTCCCACACCAAGCTCTCTGTCCTACTGGGGAGAAACTTCAGCAAGATCAGGTTCCCCTGGGAAGGGCTAGCCTGGGCTGTTTGTTCTCACATTTCCTGTTGGTCAGGAAGGCCTGGGTCAGGTGCAGATGTGCATCCTTGGGGTCTCTGTGGACCTCAGAGGTAGGACAGAGCAAGAAGCAGAAACGCTAGCAATGCCCTAAGCAGAAGGGGATGGGATCCCAGAAGGGCAGCAGGAGATGGGGGGAATGCCATGGCCACAGGCCTTGGTGTCCTAGGACCAGCTCTGGGGTGGGTGAGGCTGGCACTGGGTTCTTTTGCCTCTTCAGATTCTTGACCACGTCTTTGTCTTGTACTACCTGCTGGAAGTGCTGCTCAAGGTGTTTGCACTGGGCCTGCGGGGTTACCTGTCCTACCGTAGCAACGTGTTTGATGGCCTCCTCACCATTGTCCTCCTGGTAAAGTCTATACAAGCTGGGGTACCTCTCCTGGCAGCTGTGTGAGCCTGGCTGGCAGCTTCGCCTGGGCCCTTTGGGTGTATGATAGAGTATAATGTGTGAGCCTGGCTGGCAGCTTCGCCTGGGCCCTTTGGGTGTATGATAGAGTATAATGTGTGAGCCTGGCTGGCAGCTTCACCTGGGCCCTTTGGGTGTATTGATAGAGTATAATAGAGTGTAGCTTTATCAGGTAGAGCTCAAGTGACCTGGGGTGAAGTGTGTGACAGGATGCAGGAACTTGGTCCCCACTGTACATGAGTGCTGCAGGGCCTGGACTGCCATTTCTCATCCCGAGGGAGGTTCAGCTGGACCCAGAGCTGTCAGCAGCTAATGCAGCCCCTGGCACAGCCTTCTAGTGCCACTGGTTCTCAGTGCAGCCTTGGTGGGGGCAAGTGAGTATCGGGGACTCAGCCACCCAGGATGCCCTTGGGAATCTGTGAATTTTCTTTTCCCCTCTTGCTGGGAGTGAGAGGCTCACACTTGGTGTGGGTGCCACAGTAGTGACCTCAAGTGACATTTTGAGAGCCAGTGGGCTCCTGGAGACATACATAGAGAGAATTACTTGAGCCAGGCCTTTGGTCCATCTATGACTAAGTGGCTTCCAAAGTCCTATTCCTGAAGCCAGTTTTCTGGCTGACAGAAGTCCTACATCTGGCTGTATGGGCCAGGCCTGAGCTCTGAGTGCCACTGCATGTCTAAAGGATTCTGTTACAAGCTGCCCGGGATGGCACTGCTGGGGGTGCCGCCTGGGTTGGCACTGCTGGACAATGCCCTCTTCTCTCTGTGGTTCAGGTTTTGGAGATTTCTGCTCTGGCTGTATACCGATTGCCGAACTCACGATGGTATGTGATTACAGAGAACTTGGGGACACCACCTAAGCAGTGACCTGTCTCACTGCACAGCACCCAGGTGACAAAGTCCGGTACCACATGGGGTCCCTGGCCACTGGCATGTGAACCGTGGGCTGAGTCTGCCCTGCATGGGGGACATGCAGAAATGGACACCTTTCCTCATTCAATCAGTCTCCTTTGCAGTGGCTTGGTGGACAGCGGTGTTCCCTGGAAGGTATTCTAACAAGTAGACATGTCCCTTCTCCCCCACCATCTCCAGCCTGGAAAATGAGGCCCAACTCAGGTCTGAGGGATCTGGGGTCACAGATTGATTGGGCTGGCTCCCTCTGCTGGAATGTGACAAGATCCCCTTGCTAATGCCTGCCCAGCTTGTAGCCTTGGCTCATCTCTGTGCCCAGTGTCTATTTCCTTTTTGTAAAATGGTGTCCCTGGCTTCCTGAGATGTTAGGGCACTGTTTGAGCCCACTACTCCCCATTCATACTGAACTTAGAGACTTCTGGGTAGGGTCCCAGGACTTTTGGCATAGCCAGTGGGTGCTAGGCCTGTTACCAGTTACTTTGTTGGTGAGGCTGCCCTGTGCCATGATGACATATTAGGTTGCTATGAGAGGTTCCTATGAGCCAAGGCTTGGCTAGCACAGGCCTGTGCTACTTATGACCACTTTGGATCCCTGCCCTGCCTTGTCTTAGTGACACAGTTGGGAGAGGCTTCTGAGGGCTAGAGTTCCAGCACTGACCTGCAGAGTTGACTCTAGGGTATCTGCTGGGATAGCTCAAAGATGGGCTTGGGCAGTCTACCCTATGAGAGCAGTGATCTGTCTCTGATGTGAGCCAAGCCCTTCCTAAGCTTCGCCCCATCACCTTGGGAATTGTGAGGGTGACATATGGGGGTGAGAATGGCTTATGTTTAGATTGGAGTCAGAATATAGAGAAGCCATGGGGATACCAGAGTAGAGTGGTAGCCACAGGGTTGGGGTCAGGACTGGATCATGGGATAGGAAGTTGGTTCAGGAGAGGGTCAGAAGTTAGCCCCAGATGGGACAGGGTCAGTGATGGGATAGGGCCAAAGGTCAGGTTGAGATTGGGACAAGCTTCCTGTCAGTTCTTTGGAAACTGAGCTCAGCAGGTCTGGGACCTGAGTATTCAATATCATCTCTTCCTTCATGCTGTGGGGCTGCTCTCGTGGATATGACCGTGCCTGTGGCAGTGCTGGGAGGTGTGGCTGTGGTTGTTCTGGGAGGTGTGTGGATGTGGCTGTAGTTGTGTGGAGAAGTATGGCTGTCTGTGGTACTGCTGAGAAGTGTGGCTGAGGCTATGGCAGTGGCTGTGTCTATGGCTATGATGGTGCTGGAGGTGTGGCTGTGTCTATGGCCATGATGGTGCTGGAGGTGTGGCTGTGACTGTAGCTGTGCTGGGAGGTGTGGCTGTGGTTATGGCTACCTGGGCACTAGGTCTGAGTAGGGTATGGCCAAGCTCCTACCTTCTGGGAGCTTTTTCTGCCAGGTGTCCATACAGTGACTGTTGCTGTCTGTTTACCCCTGCTACCTAGCTCCTCTGCTCTCCTAGACCTTCTAACATTGGCTCCCGTGTCTTCCTAGGAAGCCTGACCATTATGGCCCACTGTCACTGTGGGACATGACACAGCTGGTGAACACGATGATTGTGTTTCGCTTCCTGCGCATCATCCCCAATGTGAAGGTATACTCTCTCTCTCTCTCTCTCTCTCTCTCTCTCTCTCTCTCTCTCTCTCACACACACACACACACACACACACATACACACCATGAGCTGGGGAAGGGACACTCATCACCAGGGCCATTTGGGAGTGTACCTTCAAGCCCCTAAGCATTCTTGAGATGCTGGGATGGGGAGGGGTCACTGGATCAAAAGCCTTTGCTCCAGTTTCTTTTAGCTTCTGGGTTGCAGGGATGCAAATCAGGTCTCAGCAGGCCAGCAGGCAGAGGGTGGTCACAGGGTATGGATGCTGGCTCTTAAAGGGACCTGTGACTCAGCACTTACAGGAGGCTGGACATTTAGGTGGAATATGTGAGCATGTGTGTGTGTGGGTATGCAGGGTTTCTATATATGGTGGATGTGTACAGGATATATGTGGTGTATGGGTATTTGTGGGAGTGTGATGTGTGTAGGTGTGTAGATGGCCTTGAGGTGGATGTCCAAGTGTGTGTAGTGGATGTGTGGATGGCTATGGAGTAGCTTGCTGGCCCATCTTGCTCTCCTGGTCAGGATAAGGGTGTGTTTTGCGGGATGCACTGTTATCCCTGGGGCAGGAAGAGTCAGGCTAAACCCTCTTCCTACCCACAGCCAATAGCTGTGGTAGCCAGCACCATCCTGGGCCTGATCCAGAACTTGAGAGCATTTGGTGGGATCCTGGTGGTAAGTCCTGGGGCTCTGGTGGTGGCTTGGGTGGGCTGGCTCTGGAGTCCACGTGGCTTGTGGCTGGCCTGGCTCTGCTCTGATGAGGAGACCCACAGCAGTGTCAAGATGCCAGAGTTGTTTATCCCCTTCCTTCCAAAGAGGACTTGGGGTTGCTATCTATGCCAGGGTCCTTGTGGTAACTTCCCAGTCCTTCATGACCTCTGAGTCAGGTATCATAATGAGAAACTGAGAAAATTGTGAGTGGGCCCCAGCTTGAGATGTTGTAAGATGTTCTTTTGTAGACATATTTCAGGACTTGTGTGCCAGACAGAAGCTAAGATATGCCTGGGCCTCAGTGGGGGCAGATGGCCTGGTCTATCCTCTGGTAGTGGGTCTACAATTGTGGAACCTGAGAAGCAAACAGACCTGGAGAGCTAGCCTGGTGCTTCTGGTTTCCCCAGCTCCCACCTTTAGGGCGGAGCTGCCTCTGTGCCTCCCTGTCTCCCTTCCTTTGGCCTTGGCCTGGCCCCGTGGCTTCGCTGACAAGGGCTCTTCCTCCAGGTGGCATACTATGTGTTCGCCATTGCTGGGATCAACCTATTCCGAGGCCTCATTGTGCCTCCTGGAAATGGCAGGTGAGGGGCTGTCCGTGCCTGAGGGTGTTAACCTGTAGGCACCTCATTGGGCCCTCCCCCTAAACATTTCTTGTTGCTGGGTCTCCTGAGCACGCCCCCACACACACACCAGGGTGTGGGCTTTGGCAGTGCTGAGGTGGGAGGGGTTAAAGTGCCATCCTCAGAACTGGAGCCTAGGATTCTGGGAATGGGGGCCTCTTGGGTCATGTCATATACTCTCCCTGCATGGCTGGGAAGTGGCATCTTCCTTTGCCCTTTCCCCTGGGGCCTTGGAGTCCATGCTGGGCTGAGGAGTAGGGCAGTACTGAGTTGCGCAGGCCCCTGGTTACAGCTACTAACCGAGGGACATTGTGTCTCCAGCCTGGTGCTCAATAATAGGTCAGCACTGTGTGGAAGCTTCGAGCAGCTAAATTATTGGTCCAACAACTTCGATGACTTTGCTGTGAGTCCTCTGCCTTGACCCCAGGTTCAGCCCACCTGGGACTCTGCCTCTGTCTTGCCCCTCTTCCCTGTTCCCTGGGCATCTCCTGTGCCTTGTCCTGGGCCCTCCTGGACCCTGCCTCTGCTGCCCCACAGGCTGCTCTGATCACACTGTGGAATGTGATGGTGGTGAACAATTGGCAGGTATTCCTGGATGCCTATCGGCGCTACTCAGGCCCGTAAGTTTGTCTGCCCCAGTGCTGACTCTGAGCATAGAGCGCATAGAGAAGCCGGGCCTGGACTAAGACTGGAACTAGTCCCTGACTTTGGAAGACTGGCCAAGCTGTGTCCTGGCAGGCTTCAACTTTCATCTGCACTAAACTGGGAGATAGCTGGGATCCTGGGCTTATGCACCCTTGAGATGCCAGTATGGGAGAAATAAATGGTGTTTATTATTACCTGGTGCTTCTGGGGGTTTCCATGGGGTGGCATCCTAGGGGAACAGTCAGGTGGCTCATTTAGTTCATAGCCTGTAGAGCTTTGACCTGGGTTTGAATACAACTTGCATCTGATGCTAGGCTTTCTTGGTGTCCCTGGCACCTCTAAGCCCTGGTGTTATGGTGACATAACCTATACACTGTGGAGTTAGCAGCAGGGTCCTTCACAGCACTAGGAGCTGTTTTACTTTCTGGAGTGATCTCACCCCACTCACAATGGGTCCTGGCCTCCTTGTCCTTCACAGGTGGTCAATAGTGTATTTTTTGCTGTGGTGGTTGGTGTCCTCTGTCATCTGGATCAACCTGTTTTTGGCTCTGCTTCTGGAGGTACCAGATATCCCTCTCCAGGCCTGAGATTGCCTGCTGGGCTGTCTAGAGTTTTGGTGGGTGAGCCCTGCTACATACCAAGGTCACAGGCTGGAGGAGCCTGGCTGCAGACCTCTCAGCTGCTTGCCCTGGCTGGTCTGTCTTAGTTAGGGTTTCTATTATTGCAACAAACACCAAAATGCAAGTTGGAGAGGAAAGGGTTTATTTGGCTGATGCTTCCAAATCACTGTTCATCACTAAAAGAAGTCAGGACAGGAACTCAAATAGGGTAGGGATCCTAGAAGCAGGAACTGATGCAGAGACCATGAAGGGAAGCTGCTCACTGGTTTGCTCAGCCTGCTTTCTTTTAGAACCCAGGACCACCAGCTCAGGGATGGCACCACCCACCATGGGAAAGGCCCTCCTCCATTGATCACTAATTGAGAAAATGCAATAGAGCTGGATCTCTTGGAAGCATTTCCTCAGCTGAGTCTCTGATGACTCTAGCTTGTGTCAAGTTGACACAAAACTAGCCAGTACAGGGTCTGTGGGGGTCTTAGGACTTAAGGATGAGAGTAGGGCATCTTGCTTGTTTCATGGGTGTGGATCTCATAGATCCTGCATTCAGATGTTTAGGGTGAGCTGCTCCCCACACTGACTGTACTGTGACTGCAGATTGGGTAATGGGGATCGGGCTCCGAAGCTGGTGCCACATGGTTATATCCTTCCTCTTGCTGCAGAACTTCCTCCACAGATGGGACCCCCAAAGTTATAAGCAACTCCTTGTTGGTACCCGGCAGATCACCTATCAGATGTCTGTGGAGCTCATGTTCAGGTGCAGGCCTTGGGAGTGTGCTTCCAGGGTGTGGAGGTGATGGAGGGAGGGTGGGCAGTGAGTAAGGTCTTCTGCCAGGGTTCCTTCTCCACCCAGTCATCTGCCACTGAGCTGGCAAGAGATGCTCACATCACAACAGTGGACACTTCTGCTTCCACCAAGGGACATGGACTCTGCTCTACTTGGAGTCTAGCATATGGAAGGGACCATCTATCCTCCAGTGTCTTATAGCTTCTGGTTGATGCTGTGAGACACAGCCAGGTAGCCTGGAGGAGCCACACCTTCTCTTGTGGCATCATGGAGATTGTCCTCTGCTTATGTGACTCTCATCCAAGGGCCATTTTCTTTCATCAGTGTTGGCTGTATGCTATGACCAACCAGCTATGGTCATGCCATTTGGTGTGAGAAGGGCTCTCTAGGCTTTCAGGCTTTTCATTTAATTCTTTTTGGTGTTGGGATGGAGTCCAGGCTATGTGCGTGTTATGCCCTACACTGAACTCCTCCTTAGTCCCCTCTAGTGTGCTTATCACTGTACACAAAGGTTTTAGCATTTGTACCTTCCTGAGTCAGGACCTACATGCTGATGTCCCTATGCTCTGCCACATCCTGTTTTGAAAGTACCTCCCAGCTGGGGAGTCTGAGTCTGGGCACTTGCAGACCTTGCCTGCTGACTTTGCTTGCAGTCTCTGAGAAACCCAGGCCCATCTCTCTCTGAAGATTTTATGTGACTGTCCCTACCCTACAGGGACATTCTAGAAGAGCCTAAGGAGGAGGAGCTGATGGAGAAGCTGCACAAACACCCGTATTTGCAGCTCTGCAGGTGACATCAGAGTGGCCTCCCAGCCAGGGTGGCAGAACGGAGATGCTGGCCTGGGGCTCATGCTGTGGAGGCAGCCGCTGGTAGAGACCAAGCAAGAAAAGATGGTGCTTGGGACAGACCACTCAGGAACAAACAGAGGCTGGGATAAGGACTGTGGCTGCTTAGGACCATGCGCATGTAGTATGTGGCCCTGGCAGATGGGTGATTGACACAGCAGAGCAGCCGTCCCTCTGCTGCTCTTCCAAGCTGCTTTGGTGAGACTTGCTAAGGAGGGAGGGAGTGATTTTGCACGGACCTCAAAGCCCAGGATGTGAGAAGACCTCAGTTCCCTTTGATACCCACAGCTTATCTGTGTCTTCAATACCAGTGGCCTTTGTGAATCCAAACCTGCACAGGGCCTGTGGAGGGTAGCCAGCAGGTTTCTGGGGCATCGGGGTTGGTTTCACAGGTCGGGGATGTTACCTTTTTATTTCATAGTGTCTGTGAATATGATCGGGTGTGCCTGGAGGTCACAGTGTCAATCATTTTTCTGTTTCATAAAGAATGTTCTTGTAAAGAATTTTTTGTAAAGCTTGTTCTTACACTACCCTTGCTTCTCCCTCCCTCTCTCTCCCTCCTTTCCTCCCTCCCTCCCTCCCTTCCCCTCCCCCTTTCCCCCTCCCTTCCCCCTCTCTCTGCCCCAGGGCTGTTGGGTAGGGCTGCTTAAGTTATGGACCACACAAGAGTATCAGGCTGTGAGGTGTGACCTCTTACCTTCATGAGAACATCCATTAGTGACATGCACAAAGGCTGAAACAGAGGTGACTCTGTTTTGTGTGTCCTCAAGGTGTGTGACGGAGCTGGGGCAGGAAGGCAGGAGAATCCATCCACTCAGGGCACTACACTGGCCATTGGTTTTTTTCACTTTGGATGCCAACTCTGGGGATTGGTTGGGGGGGGTTCTTGGGGTCATTCAGGCTGTGGGCTAGTTCCAAGTGATGTCTGCCATGGACATTGATAAGGAGTGGAGGCTTGGGTATTACTGTCTTGGGGCTGTGAACCCCTGGGCTTTCCCATGGTCTGGGAGAGGAATCTGAAGGAACTGTAATTGAGGAATCTTCAAAAGAGTCAGGAAAGCACAGTGCTCAGGCCACGAGTGCTGGAGAGGTGCCCCCCCCCACCCCATGAGGCACAGGGCACCTGAGCTCAGGCTGAGTGCTTGCTGGAGAGGTGCCAGCTCCCAGCATACAAGGAGCAGCTTGGGAATTCTGGTCATTTCCCTGACATCAGTGTGGACTCCTGAAGACAGTCTGAGACCTGCCCCTCTGCAAGCTGCCTCCCTGGAGGCTGGATTGGAGGACAAACCCAGTTGTCCAGTGCTGGGTTGGTCTCTGGCACCATGGTTGGACCACAAGCAGTAGTGGTGTTTCTGTTCCCGCCCCGACTGCTAAGCCTTGAGTGCCACCTACTGGTGAGATGGGCTCTGCTGATGTTATCAATGCCTGGTGTCCTCTGGGACTCCCCAGAAGCTGCTCCTTGGTTTTCCAGGCCAGCTCACAAGTGTCAAGTCCCCTGTCCTCACCTCAGAGTGAGCCTGGTCTGGTGCCTGTTGGGTGAATGTCAGTGCCCTGGTTCTGTCTCTGCCGTCCAATGCTGCCCAGTTCACTCAGTATCACTCACCCCAGCTTTTGTGCAGAAATCCACCCTGCAGCTCATTTTAATCAGGCAGAGCTGGGTGTGGGGAGATGATTTCCACTCAGACTGCCTTGCCGTCAGTCAGCAAGGGTGCCTGAGATGCTAATCACTGGAGTGTGTGTGTAGGGACCAGAGGAACCACAGTGGTATTCTGGGGGCCTCCTCAGCTCCCTGTCCTGTCCATTTCTTTAAATGCTGTGGCCGTGGGGGCTCTCTGCAGCAGGGGTGGCTGTGGAGCTGCACTGGGGAGTGTGGGCTTGTACTTCTCAGGGAGCCTTCATGGTTGCTCTGTGGGCTTCCCCCTGTTTTCTGTGGTTACCTCATAGTACTGAGTACAAAAGCTGTGTTAGCTGGGCGTTGGTAGCACACGCCTTTAATCCCAACGCTTAGGAGGCAGAGGCAGGTGGATCTCTGTGAGTTCGAGGCCAGCCTGGTCTCGAGGACAGGCTCTGAAGCAATGCAAAGAGCATGTGGGGGGAGCTGTGGCTCCCGAGCACAGTGTAAAATGGAGCTTGTGTCACACACAGCCCTGATGGCTGTCTAAAAAGAAAGTGGGAGTGAGAGGCAGCTGAGTTTGACGAGCCTGGCCCTCGGGTCTGGGTCCCATGAGGGGCCTTTTATCCCTATGGCCAGGGTGTCCTGGGGTCAGCAGGAGGTGTGTATGATGAAGGTGACTGGCCCTGGTGGCATGGGAGGCTGAGTCCGTCAGAGCAACCATGGCGGAGTGGGGTGGGCTCCCTTGACCTGAACATGGGCTGGGGCTGCCCACACTTGGGTGGAGCACTATGTGAGCTGTTAGGCATGTTCAGTGCACACTGGAAGTCACTGAGGGGACCTGAGGCTTCATAGAGACCACATCCTCCTGGAGGTCTTAGCTGCCTGGCTAGTGCTTGCAACCTGAACACAAAGACATTTTCATTTTCTACACTGGTCACCTTGGGCAGTAGCTGCTACCAGGAGCTCCTGCAAGTCCCTGACACTTAACCCCAGGTCATCTTGTAAGCATTTCCTGGACCTGTGTGGCTGTGTAGCTCTGCCTCCCTGGCTTTCATGAGACCTCCCGGCCGGATGTGGGACCTGTCTAGGTACTTGGAAGAACATCCAGTGATCTTCATTGCTGAGCCATCTCTCTAGCCTAGAACTCCCAGGGTCAACCCTACACAGGGAACCTCCTGGTTTCTTCTTTCTCCCAATGGTTGCCAGTCTCCTTAATGTGAGTCTGAGCAATTTCAAGGACAGTTAACCAGTGACCACTAGCTATTGGTACCTGTCACTGCCCACCCCCCTTGCAGAGCTACCCCACACTGCTCTTGGCTCAAGACTTGTCCTGAGGGCTCCCATTAGCCTCTAAAAGTGGCCTTGGGGACTTGAGTTTGTCTAGACCACTAGGTCTCAACCTGTGGGCTATGATCCCTTTGGGGATTGTATATCAGATATTTATATTGCGATTCATAACAGTAGCAGAATTACAGTTATGGAAGAGCAACAATAATTTTATAACTGCGGGTGGTGGTCACCACAATGTAAGGAGCTGTGTTAAAGGGTGGCAGTTGGCCTCTGACTAGGCGCTCAGCCACGGCTTTCACTCACAGTCAGTATTTGAATATGCCCAAGTCTCGCTCTGCTCCATGATGTGTGGAAGACACTGAGTGGCGCTATGGTGAGTTGCAGTTGTCCTGCAGTTAAAGTGCAGGACAAGAACACTGAATCACGTCACAAGGATGCTGGTGTCCCTGGGTGAGGCTGGGGCCATCCTGGAGCCATACCCTGAGGTTACTGAGATGCAAGTAATTCTGAGGTTCAGGTGCCCAGGTGCCACAAGAGGTGACTAAGGGGTATACCCGTCCCTCGGGGAGATGGGGCTGGAGAGGGGGTGTGGGAGTCTTGGGTTCTGGACCTGGTGCATGGCCATGTGTTTGATTTTCTTACACGTTTGTACCATGCTGAACATTAACATATGGCAGAAGGGGAACAAGAGGTGCTGGGCAGGGCGTGAGTGGGGTCCTCAGGCCGTTTTGCTCCAGAGGTGGGGGGAAGTTCCCTGTTTTCTTCCTGGGGTGGCTGTGTGGACAGACCATGTGCATGATACTGAGTCTCCTGCTGAGGCAGAACAGGGCTATAGAACAGAAGTGGTGACAGGAGAGTGTTGGGCAGCAGCTGCATGGGGTCAGGGTGGCCTGGGGGGGGGTTGGGGTAGGGAGGTGAGCAACTGAACCTGGAGTTTGGAGCAGTGTCAGCTGGAGCAGGTATACTGCTGTTCTCTCCAGCAGTGTCACCTGTGGGAGCAGATGGTGGCCACTGGGCATCTTCCCATTGCCTCCTGATATCCTCCCCTCAGGTGGGGGCTGGCTGGGATCCAGGACTGATGCCTGATCTGTTGCTGGGGCCCGGGAGCAGGGCGTTTGATGTGGTCTTAGTCCGTTCCTCCTAGATGTAGTCGCTTCTCCCTAGAACAGCCCAGATTGAGTTTCCATCCTTGGAGATAATTGCTGGGTTTTATTCACAGGTTAGAACAGCACCTCGCTTCAGAAAGAAAGCCCGTGGGGCTTGGGCACACCACTGCTCTTAAGTTAGGGGAGGCGTGGGGCTCAGGTGACACACCTCACATCAAAGTGGCCAGCAGACGCTGGGGGCAGCAGGCGGGCATCACCCTGCTCTCTAATCACACTTTGAGGGCTGAGCTTTTCTTCTGGGTCATTCAGTCAGGGCCCCAGCAGGCAGGAGTGGGACACACACCTGTAGGGCACCTGCCCTATAGCAGTTGGCTAATCCATGCAGGGACTGGGGCCCCAGCAGCACCTGTCTCTGGGTGAGCCCGGCCTTCCTTCTTTCCTCCTTGGCCCTGATCCTTTGGCCTTTAATGGGAAGCGGCGGTTCTCATATGGCCCAGGCTGGTCTTGTGCTCACCTTGAACTTCTGGTCCTCCTTTCTTTGCTTCCCAAATGTTGGGAGTCTTATACCACCAAACCCAGCTTATGTAGTGCTGGGATCAAATCCAGGGCTTCCTGTAAGCTAGACAAGCACTCCACCAATCAAGCCACACCCCAAGCTGTGCAGGCATTGTTCAGGGCCTCAGAACTTCTGATCAGGGTGGTGGTCAAGGGGCCATTCCTGGAGCATGGCTGGCTTCTGTCCTCCTCCTTTGCCTCCTATTTTCAGCAAAGAGGAGGAATGTCCACAGTTGCTGTTGGGTTTATTTTCAAAGCAGCCCTGGAGAGGCACAGTTAGCTCAGCCCCTTCTCCAGAGGCCAGATGATGTACATGGTCTCTTTGGAAAGCAGATTCAGGGAAGAGCTCCAACTTGGTGCCGCTGTGGTCCCTGCCCCACTGAGGCTGGGATATGCGCCTTAGTCAGTGGGGTCCTAGCAGGAAGAAATCCCCCGTCATACTTTAGCTGAGTTCTGTGTTTGGGCCTCTTAGGTGGACATGGAGAACCTGCTTGGATCATGTCCTGTGCAGGGGCAGAGATGGACTTTTGAGTTTCTGGGTAGAGATTGAATGCCACAGTTTAGCCACTACCTGAAGCTGCATGCATGAGGTGGCCAAGTTCTGGGCCCACTTGCTTCCTGCCTTGGTCTTAGACATGCTGAGTGTGTCTACCATCTGCCCTTCTTCTGGAGGGGGTGGTAGGTGGTGAGGAAGCCCAACCTTGATCAGGGAATTCTTGCAGGGCAGTGCCTGGGTTTCTAGGTCTTGGTAATGAATGGACTGTTACCTTGCCTGATGTTGGTGAGGGATGGGGTGAGAAGGTTCTGGAGTGGCTACACTTTCTGCTGGAATCCACTATGTCCCCACCTCCTACCCTGGGCTTGGAGCCATCAGTGCCCAACTGTTCACTTGTGCTTAGACCTCAGGACCAGCCAGGATGGTGGGCTCTGCAACCGC